TCCCATAAATGCTATAATGAATTTTTCTGCAACTTGCTGTTTTCTTTTCCCCTTATTATGTCTTAGAGGTCTTCCCTGTCCAGGTATTTACCTAGGAAATATGTTTCTTAGAGCTGGCATTTGTTAGAGAGTTAGCTAGTGTAAGGTTGTTGTTTATGGAACAGAGGTCTTAAATGCTGCAGACTGACGTAGATGGAGTTTGAGCCCATGTCTGAACCCATTTACACCATTCTTCAAATTATTCTAATGAAGCAGAAGCATTTACTAAGGAGAAAGGACAGTTTAACAGTTGCTTATGTGTTCTGTTTAATGATGAGAATTTGAAATCTAGAGATTTTTCCTTGATCTCCATTATTGCTGAATTTCAAAAGAGCTATTGATGGCCTCTGAGGATTGATTTTGTAAAAAGAAGGATGTCATTCCCCCACCTTTTAAAAAGTTACCTTTACAAAATATTAAATGTTCTTTAAAATACAGAAAAGTATAAAGAAGGAAAGAAAGCATCCTGCCTATTGAAACACAATTACAGTTAACATTTCTTGTGCTTCCTTTTTTTTTCTAATCACAGGCTTAAGTGAGTCTGATTCCTTTTCTTCTGCTTCTCTCAGTTTGCCAGGCAGTATAGCAGGAACGAGCCCTTGACCTTTGCATGGTTACGCCGATATATTAAATGGCCATTACATCCACCTAATAATATTAAAGACCTCATGGATCTTGAAGCTGTCCACGATGTCTTGGATCTTTACCTGTGGCTAAGGTATCAAATATTTCCTTTATGTGCTCTCATTTTTAAAGTAATAGGGCAAATCAAAGGTTTTATGAAGGGTCTTTTGCTCTTTCATATTAGGCACATATTTGCAGGGTGCTCTATATTATGTTTATTGTCCATAAAGGCAGTTGAGCCTGGTTAATCCCCATTCCAAAAATGACTTAAAGCATTCTTAGGATTCTAGTTAGGATGGGTGGGTGAGAAGGTCCGCTAGATCCTTGCTACTCCATGGGTGGAAGCTTATTAGAAATAGAGAATATCAGACTTAATCAAATTCTGCATTTTAACTATATTCCCCAGGTGATTCATTTATATGTTAACATTTGAGAGGTTAATTAAAATCCTCAATTAATGGTCCTGCGACTTTAAGCAAAAGAATGTTTAACAAAACCAATTTTACCAGAGGCTAATCGATATAAACCAGAGTTAAGTTCCTATGGCATCTCATCAGTATTATGATGAGACAGTGTTATACAAAGCGACGTTATTGGAGGGCCTGCTGTACCATTCTAGCTCAGTAACTCAAAGGGGGGGGGGGCATGTCCCACGAGGGGGCATATTGGAATCAGGTCGGGGGGAGTGGTGACCCATCCTCATAATGATGTACTCCTCAGATATGTTGGGGCAGAAGTAAAAGTTGAGCAAAGACAAAACAAATTTTGCATAAACAACATTTGGAATTAATCAGTGTCAAGATGTAGTTTCGTCATTGATATTATTGTAGTGGTTCAGCGACTGTGATAAGAGCTGTTGCTATAATGTAATGTCTTTTTCCCAGCTATCGGTTTATAGATATGTTTCCAGATGCCAGCCTTGTTCGAGACCTGCAGAAAGAGCTAGATGGCATTATCCAAGAGGGTGTACACAACATCACCAAACTGATTAAAATTTCAGAGGCACAAAGGCTGTTGAATTTGGAGAATGTGTCAGCAGACAGCCGGTCTCGTTTGCCAGGAACATTGAAGAGCCAAGCAAGAAGGATGCGCGGTACCAAAACTTTAGGGTATAAAGCTGTTGAGCCACCCAGCCCCAGTGCGGAAGAGAAATCCCTTGCTTCCAGGTTGGTGCAGCAAGGACTCCTCACTGCAGACATGCTGAAACAGCTGGAGAAGGAGTGGCTGACACAGCGGACTGAGCATGGCAAAGACAGGACAGCGCCTGGGACTTCCTCCAAAGGGTCAAGAAGAAAGAAGAAGGAACCTGATTCAGATTAGGTTTATTTTATTTTATTTTTATTTTGCAAATATCTATTTTAAAATTCTTTTTTTTTCTCATCTGCATTTACTGCCTTATATATAGTATTCTGGGTATCTTACTGGGGTGTGTGTTTTTTTTTTTTTTTACCCAGAAAAATTAACTCTTAAAGATGAGTAAACTTGGCTTGTTTCTACATTTTAAAAATATGGAATGTCTTAAAGATTTTATTTAAAATTTTATAGAACTTCATAGTATAGCACTAAGACAATGCACTATAAAGAACTCTGCATGGCAATCAAACCCGTTTGGTGAATTGTTTGACCAGTTTTCTACACCATTGCTGAGGATGTCATGGATGGAATTGCTGTCTCTTGAACCCACGTACCAGAAGCTGTTCTAGGTGCTGGAAACATATAGTAAGCAAGATGTATTATATGGAGATTTTGATACGGAGACAAATAGGAGTAAGTTAAGTAAATGTCAGCTCTGTGAGGGTAGAGATGGTTGTGTGTCTAGTTCACTGCTGTGTTTTCAGTGCCTAGAATACAGTAGAAGCACAATCAGTCTTTGTTCAATGAATGAGTGTACTTTTGGAGATAACTGTTAGGATAAAGTAGAATAAGGAAAGAGAGTAACAAGCAGTAGCAGTGGACTATTCTACATAGAGTGGGTGGTCTTCCCATGTCAGAGGTCAGTCTGATGCATAGTGGCCTCTATTGCCCAACACAGTTTTCAGCCCTGATTAGTGATACAGCTTAAAAGGAGCTTAAGGGCTTTGACATTGGACAGGCCTGAGTTCAGCTTCTCTCATTACCCGCCCGGTGACCTTGCCCTCTCTGAGGATGGACAGTAATGCCACTCAGAGTTGTTCAGGAGGTTAAATGTGATGAGGTGCCATTTAGCACGGCGCCTGGTATATATGAAGTGTTTTACAAATGAAACGGAAGGTTTGGGTTCACTCTGGGCTGTGAATTGACCACTTAAGTCATTCCAGGAACTGAACTAATTTCTTGAGCGGCTGCTAAACAGGCTGACTTCAGACTAGCGATTACACTGACTTGGTTGAAAGTGGGTCAAGAACAGTTTGGCAAACTAGTGATCTTTTTCTGGCTTTTTCTTTGGTAGTTCTGGAGTTCAGATGATGTTTCATTTAATTGAGATGGCAATCTTTATTCTAATCTTTGTCTTTCTGGAAATAAAGGCTGAGTAGATGGCACTGAGTGTATTTCTCCCTTGTTTGTGGGTAAACAGTAGTGAAATGTCCAGAAGGGCAGATATTCTTCATTGGACAACTTTAGCTTCTAGAATTTGCCTTCCCCTGTGACTTACACCATAGCAGACATAGTCCCTTCTTGCCCATTTGGTCTCGTTGTATTTAAGAGATGAGGCACATCACTTAGAGCAGCGGTTCTCAACCTGTGGGTCGCGACCCCTTTGGGGGTCGAACGACCCTTTCACAGGGGTCACCTAAGACCATCAGAAAACACATATATAATTACATATTGTTTTTGTGATTAATCACTATGCTTTAATTATATTCAATTTGTAACAATGAAAATACATCCTGCATATCAGATATTTACATTACGATTCATAACAGTAGCAACATTACAGTTATGAAGTAGCAACGAAAATAATTTTATGGTTGGGGGTCACCACAACATGAGGAACTGTATTAAAGGGTCGCTGCATTAGGAAGGTTGAGAACCACTGACTTAGAGGATTAGTTCGGGTTAGTTCTCCCACTTCATTTGGGGGGTCAGAGTTGGTAATTCACAGAAGACACTTAAGCAAGACCCTTGCAAACTTCGTAAGTTAAATGTTAGTGAAGTCTCAGATAAGAGGAGTGAAGGTGGGGATACTGTAAGGAAAGGGCTGCTTGAACACTGAGCTAAAGAGTAGAAATAGTGATAAATAGTTCACCTTTCCCTGTGTGGGGGAGGGAGAGTCTTCTGCCTGTGGTTAGGCAGAAGAGACTAAAGAAAGATAAAATCAGGTGAAACAAATAGGAATAATATAAGTAAGTGGCTTTGAGTAATTAACTGCAAAGTGCTTAAAATTTGAAAACAACCTGGTCTCTGCACCAAGCCTGACATGTCATTTATTTTTCTTTGAGGGCTTCTGGGCCAGCTAAGTCCCAGGCATATGTTTCACTCAGGTCATGTTCTTAACCTTTTTTTTTTTTTTTTCTAAAGGCCTTTTTTTCTTTTTAAAAAAATATGTATTTATTGATTTCAGAGAGGAAGGGAGAGGGAGAGATAGAAACATCAATGATGAGAGAATCATTGATCGGCTGCCTACTGCACGCCCCCAACTGGGGATCGAGCCTGCAACCTGGGCACGTGCCTGGACCAGGAATCGAACCGTGAGCTCCTGGTCACGCTCAACCATCAACCCATACCGGCCAGACCTCAGCCTTTCTAAAACACAACTCTTTTATTTTTTTTGCAGTTTTCTCACAGGTTTTGAAGCCCTCTTTGGATTATTGTGAATTCAGTTGAACATTAACACGGAGCATGGACTGAGACTTGGATGCTAACCTCAGTTCCATCGGTACAGATCTGGCTAATTTAATAAGATGTGGTTAGTACAGATCTGGTTAGGAATAAAATCAATGACTTGTAATGCTTTGTACATTTTATTTGTGGATGAATGTAAATCTACAAAATGAAATTGGGTCTTTTGAAAAATGCCTATTGTGAATCATCACAAATCACCAAAGTCTGTTACCGCTCAGAACTGGGAGTCTGTAATTAAGATGCAGTCATTCTATGTGTATCCAACACAAATCAACCTATTAGGATATGATGAAAAGTTGTGGTTTGCTGAAAGATGAGCAAATGATAAATGAATTAGGTTATTTTACTTCTCGATTTGAAAGCTATAAAATACATAAACTTGAACAGAGATAGCAGTTATCAACATGCTTCTGAGTTGTCGCTGTTCTCTAAAAGCCTGTCACTTAACATAGTGGGACAGTCCCACACACATGATAAACGGAAGTTGTCTTTATGTGCAAAAAAATGCTAGAGAAGAAACTAACGTTCTTGAAGTAGGATTGACCTTTGAAGACTTGACTTCATGAAGTTACTTTTGGCAAATTTTGGTAGAGGAGATGATTTTGAACTTGTTCCTTTAACAAGTTCTATCTATCCAAAAGTTTTTATTAGGTGCTCTCACCCAGTCCACACCCTAGAAAGGCCCTGGAGCTTGTGAGGCGTGGGAAAGGCTTGTGACCCAGTGACTACTTTGACCCGCCATTCGACACCTGTGAAGTGCAGTGAACTTGAGGATCCCCTGCTGGAAAATGTTCTTTCTCGGGTGCTTGTAATGAGGTCGAAATAATTTTTTAAAAAATTCCTTAAGTAATTATAAATGTTCATAATTCTTTTAATAGCCACACTTTAATTTTCTTAACATGTTCATCACTCATTGTTATCCTTTAAAACTTGATAAATCAATAGATGTTGCTCACATTCTATAAAAGCCCATCTGCATATGATTATTTAAAGTAATGCATAATATAAATTCAAAACAAAGCTCACTTGGAAGTAAGAACTCTCCTATAACCTATACTTCTGCACATTAATTTATCTCTAATCTATATACATAAGCCAAATAGACTTGTCATTAAAAAATATGTATACATATATGATTAAAAATATATTTTTTTTATTCTTCACCCAAGGACATAAGTCACCTGATTTTTAGACCAAAAAGGAAAACATCCTGTGGTGAGGGAGAAAACATTTGACTGGTG